TCTTCTATCTATCTATATAAATAAAAATGTAATGTTCGTTTGTTCCTACCGATTCCTTTGAAATTTTGACATAACGCTGCATTCGAATACACACGTGTTTTTATATACTGTAATATACGTGTCGAAATTCCCCCCACTGAAGGGAGATGGTTAGGATTAAGGCTTACGGTAAAGAACTCTGCTTCTATTTATACTATTTTAGATGCGGTTTTGATTGTGTTTTAATAGGGTATGTCAACAGAATGTACACTAAGAAGAAATTTTTCGAAAAATTCCCCCCCCTACGGGGGAAGTGTTATACGTTTATAATAGATACATTTTGAGCCACAACAACACGTGGCAGGGTCTGCTAGTTGGGATATAAAGCTGCAAATTGAAGTCAGCATACAATTAAGGATGATCTGTCGATCATTCAAGGATAATTCTGATCCAACCGGAAGAACCAGCAAAGCTAACACCTGTTATAAGATCTATAACTCACAAACAAAAACAAGTTACACTATGAAATTAATAACGAGCAACATGTCACGATACATATTATAACTGCTCACAACAATTGTTGCACCAAAAACCATACAAAGATCAAAAAGAATGGAGACCGAAAACATGGTGCAGAAGTTGGACATAACAATTTTAAAAATTTACTGATTTGAATCAATTATATGTTGTTTGATAGCACTTTACAACAGTAATTAAACGATATATAAAACACTCGCTACAAATAAGTAGGACTGCCTATTTATTTATCGGCAGATGGAGCGATAAAAAACAGAGCTGATCACAAACACATCAGGTAACAGTCACGACTCCCAGTGAACTCCTGTTCTAGAGCATTGTCTAAAAATATTATCTAATCCTTTAAATTATTTTTTGAATTTTTTTTATTTAACTGTACCATAGGTGCTATTTAGCACCTACACTGCAGTGAAATATTAAGTTAGATATAAATTATTTTTTGTGAAATTCATTATCATTATCTGTAATTAATATAATTAGAAACAATATCAATGCAATTAAACAAACAAGATGTAATAAGTTCCATAAACTAATAATTAAAAAGTAATGATTTATTATTATTCTGTATTTTGTGTGTATGCCTTGCAGTTTTTTTTACGTCTAATGTGAATTGCAGAATATTCTACAATAAATTGATGTGTTAAAGCAGATATATATAATTTATTTTTTAATGAGTAAATAATAAATGAAATTAAATAATGCATTAATATTTTTTTATTAACATATTTTTATATTTATTTGATTTTGAATAGGTGCTTCTCAGGGTGTTCAAAAAAAGATGAAAAATGCACCACAGGCAATTATCATAGAAGTAAGGAAAAATGAAAATGTTACTTTAAAATTTAACTATTTCAAGATTTAAATATAGACATATATAAATTTGAAGATTTTAAACTATGTGTTTCTGTTTATATATGCATTTTATGTATACAGTAGAGCGTCGTTTATCCGAAAGTCAGTTATCCAAAAGAATTCCAATCGGCAAATTTAAATTTTTGCTAGTGCTGTAGTGCTGCAATCTTTGGCTATATCTTCGGCTACTCCAATATTTTTGTTGGTGTGTGTTTTAGCTGGCAACACTGGCATTTTTGTGTGGTGTTTTTCTGAGGACCATGTGTCGTGCTGAATTGAACTTTTTGATACTAGATTAACTTCTAAAGTATAATTTTTTTCGTTTTTATATATCTCAATATATTTATTTTGTTTGTAAAAAATAAAAAAATAATTTTTAACGATACAATAACGATTATTATTTTAAAAAGTTTACGTTAGGCTTAACATCAATGAAAATTCAATTCGAAGCGACACGCAATGGAGAAAAATTTCAACTTGGGATAGGTTAATATATTTTTTCTTTCATAATCGGTTATCCGAAAAATAAGTTATCCGAACAACCTCAGTCCCGAATTGATTCAGATAAATGACGCTCTACTGTATTGCTTTGTCCGTACAAAGTGGCACTTGGTCAGTTAGATTGAGTCACCCCAATTATGAATGATGGTTTTTTCATTCTAAAAACATGCTTGAGTTGTTTTTCTTTGAATTTGAATCTTGGCAAGTACCAAAGTTAGAATAGAAGGTTTAATTTTGAAGATTTTGTTGACTCTGAAGATTAGATTTAGAACTATGATGAAAGACTGTGATTCCAGACCTAATATTTATTAGCTGCCATTATTGTGTATTTTTTATGAGTACATTAAATTTACTTAATTTATCATTTTTCTAAGTGAAGCTGGGTATCTCAGCTAGTAAAACATAAAAATACTCTTGATTAAATTGGTCAAAAGTGAAGATATAGAAATCACTTCAGTATGAAGTTTTCAATAATCCTCAGTCAGATTCTAATGACTGTTTGTATTGAAATTTAAAATTTAGTACAAATAATGATTTAGTGAAAAACATTTTCATATTTTGATGAATTTTTAACTTTTTTCTTGAAAAAGGATAAAATATGTACATTGGAATAATTTCTAAAAAAAATTAAGACTTTATTCATGATGAAAAATGCTATAATTTAATAGAAAACATATTATAATTTCAGAATACAGTTGAATGTTGTATTATTTGATATTGATGTGACAATAACCAATATTTGTTATACATAATTTATTTCATTTTAAATTATTCCAAATTTTTTGTGTTTAATGAATTCAATTTTTATTTTTATTGAATTTCAGCCTTCAAGAGAACTTGCTGAACAGGTATGTTGTTCTTCATAGTAATATAAAATATCAAAAACTGTTTCACCTAGTTTTTTTTAATTATAAAGTTTTGTGAATGACAGAATGAATTGAATCACAGTTTAGAATACTTTTTATGATTTATTAATTTATTANTTCTACGGCACTTTTCTTTCGTCGGTGAGTTGGTTTCTCTTCTATTTTTAAGTTACTAAGGTGAATGGTGAGGAAACCTTCGTCCTAACAAAACATAAGCCCCAAACAAAAATAGAATAATAAGCAAAAATAAAAGTAAATAAAAATAACGTTCAGACTTTGTTCCTTACAATTTCTGCAGGTAATTGTACGAAATATTTGAAATAGTTATTGGATTTATCTCAAGGGAATATTCTTGAGATTGATTGATAAGTAATGCTGAGAGCTGAGAGAGCACGAATAAGAAGAAAAAGTTCTAGAGCTATAATTGTTCATAATTGTAGACAATGTGAATCTACAGCAGAGCAGTCTCAAAGACTGGAAGAGCAACAAATTTGTTTGGCTCAGAATCGAATGTGTATAGCGAGGAATTTTTTGGTTTCAAATCAGCTTTTGATTATCATCCTGAAAATGATTATTTGGATATGAAAGAGGTAAAATGATCAAAATATGCGATCATTGTTTTGCCAAAAAATGGGATGATGAAACTCCTGGACTTTGCTGTGCTGCAGGGAAAATTGTTCTTGAACAACTTGAGGAATGTCCTGATTTCATTAAAAATTTGATTTTAGGAACAGATCCACTTTCTATACATTTCTTAGACAATTCTAGACAGTACAACACACTATTTCAAATGACATCATTTGAAGCTAAAGAAATAAGGGAAGGGAATTTCATGACTACATTTAAAATCTAGTATCAATCTAGTATCATTTGATTGGCAGTTTACTTCCTGATCCAGAAGACACTCCTAAATTTTTACAGATCTATTTCATGTCTGAATCTGACCAGATATTAGCTAGATTGAATATAAACCCAACTTTGAAAAGGAAACTCATTGAAAGATTGCAGAAAATCATGTAAGATAATAATAATTTTATTCGGAGTTTCAAAATTACAATGGATTTCCACATACAATGTGGATTATCCACAAATAATTAATGAACAATTAGTTCAAATTTTCAAAGTTCTGTATGTATATAAGAGTGGGTGAGGACGCATCGGGGGATGCTAGTGTATATATATACATACTAATTTCAATTTAGCTTTTACTTTTAAAATCTGTAATTCTAATTTTTGAGTATATAGTTTAATAATGAAAATGATTTCTTATTGCTAATTTTATTTTGATCTTTATTATAGTACTATATTCTACAAACAAATTATACTTATAGTTTTTTTTACAATGTCTGACTCATCATGTAATCAAAAGAGCACTAATGCAAGAAATAAAATTTTTTATGAAGTGTAACAGATTGTTTTATTCTTGGATTAAATGTTTTTTGGGATATTAGCTCCCATCATCAGTTTCCATTATGTATAACAGAATAGAGTTTTCTGTTTAATACAATTTCATGATGGGAACTTTTAGTAATATCTCAAAAAATATTTAACCATCTGTTAGATGTCATAAAAAAGTTATTTTTAGTGTTAGTGCTCTTTTGATTGTAGAATATTTATCCTTTATTTAGATTTCACCACACATTTATAAAAAAAATCATTACTTTTTTAATTACTGTTTATGGAACTTAATTACATTTTGTTTGTTTAATTGCATTGATATTGTTTCCAATTACCATATTTACTCGCATATAAGACGACCTTGCATATAGGAGAAGGTGTGACTTTAAAGATCAAAATAAAGAAAACTTTAAGGAAAAATCTTGTAAAATTGACAACATAATTTGTTCATGTAAAGCTGGACAATCGGGAACCTATATTGTGCTGTATTGTATGATTTTGGAATTTCAATCTGGAATTGAATTCAAAACCTTTGCTTTTCCTATTGCTATACATCTTTACTCCTGACAATATACAGTCGACCCCCCTATAAGATAGAGATACGTTCCATTCTCTAGGAATCCGCTTTCTTACGAATCCTTCCAATCACAACCCGACACGTATCAAGTNACTTTTTAACCAAACTACAAATTTTATTTTTTTACATGCTTCAGGAAATTAATAAATTTTATAATTTAGAGAAAGAGAAACTCGATAATTAATTGAATCTTTATATTCAAATATGACTTAATTTCTCTGTTTAATTTGTAAAAGTTTTGTTTGTTTCTGTACACTTTGTTGCATCAAAATTATAATTAAAGAATTGAAAACATTTTCAAACAAATAATTTTTCAAGATGTCAGATTTTTACATGTTGTTGAATAAATTATAAATGCAAAAAATTATTTTATGTTACAGAAAGAAAAAACTTAAGTTTTTATACAAAATATTTGTGAAAGAACTATAATTTGAAACTAATGCTTAAATAATATGAAAAAGTTATTCCAAAAGTATTGTCATTGTAGAACTCATCACAACTTGATTTCCGGATAAAACTGTCCAGAGTAAAGCAATTATCTTCAATTAGAAGTAATCATCGTTGCCATCCATCGTTCTTATGTTTTTAAATGGTTTTGGTAATATCAGCTTATAAATAGGTCTAATTATGGAATGGAATTGCTTTTGTACCGTTATAGTGTTGCCAATAGAGCCATAATTTATCAGATTTTTTAAGGCCCAAATGTAGTTTTATGGAATGGGATGATTATTCAGTAATGCAGTTTTTTCAGTTCCTTATTATTTTCAAACTGCTTCAATGGAAATCACTTTTTTAAATGCAAAAATAGGTGATAGTCACTAGGTACTAATTCAGGGCTATAAGGCAGATAGTCAAAAATTTTCCAGTGTAATTATTGCAACATATGAACAATTTGAGAAGTGGTATGATGCTTGAACCCTGAAATAGCACCAAGCATCACTTGTTTTGCATTTTAAAAAATGTCTTCAATCCAAGCAGTTTGAAAATGACAGGGAACTGAAAAACTGCATTACTGAATGGTTCAAGACATTGGTGACAGACAGACTTTCACAATAGAATAAGGAAACTGGTGACACATTAAAAATGTGTAAATTTTTAGCTATAGTAAATTATTTTTATTTTTCTTTTCTTTATTTTTTATTTCAAAATGGACCTTACTTTAAAAATATGCCTTATTATGTATAAATTATACATTTTAAATGTGCTTTTTTCTAGACACTTCAATGTATAAGAAATTTTAAGAAGTATCTTGAAAATCCAGAAGTTAGGTAAACATGTTTATTATTTAGGATAGTTTTTAAATTTTATGTAAATAATAATAATTTTTAATTTGTTTAGAGAACTTTTAGTAATAGGTGGAGTTGCTGCCAAGGATCAGATTTCAGCTTTACAAAGTGGAGTATGACACATCTTATCCTTATGATTTATTATAAATTTTTTATAAATGTTTATCATATGAATAAAACCTTTATTTCAGGTGGACATTATTGTTGGAACACCAGGAAGATTAGAGGATCTTATTAGTACAGGTCAAATTTCTCTCACACAGGTTAGTCAGCAAATGTATAATTTTATTAAGTTATTACAATATAATAAAAGAAATGCTAAAAGAAAAGTAAAATAATTTTGCCATTCTTTTATTAAAAACTGTAGTTTAAAGAAAAAAAAATTAATTTATTTGTTAAATATAAGCTGAAATATAAGTCAATAATTTATCAGAAATGTTTTTGGACCTTCTACAAACATTAACTGTTTTCTAATAGAATAAGTTATTAGTGAAAGACTGATGTCATACTTGGAATTCTAAAAGTTTTCTGATGGAATAAATTACTGGCTCATACATATTTCATTGTTTTGTTTTTGTGTATTTTTATATACATACACATTTTTATATACATACACATACTACAGTTTATTTATATACATAAAATTGTTCTGTTTCACATATAAATGTAAGTAAATAAAAAAAAATGAAATAGATAATATGATAAGGATGATCATTTCATTATTATTTTTTTTATGTTGTTTTTACTTGTGCCTTCATAACAGAGCACAAAAAAGTAGTAATAAGCTGTTTTATAATGAAATTTACACTTCAGTGAATAGTCGGTTTTTTAAGTTGATCTTAAAGGATTTATTAGTGTAAATAATACTAAGACAATAATGTAATAAAATATTGAAACTGTGAAAAATCAGCAATGTGTTGGAAGACAAATTGTTAAGGAAAACAGATTTTTGTCATCAAGCAGCATTAATTCAGAATGGAGAGAGTCAGGTATTAATGTATCAGACATTACAGTAAGGAGGATAATAGAAGAAAAAGGTTACCACTCAAGAAAAGCTAAAACAAAGCTATATATGACAAAAAACAAAGATTGTTTGAAATGGGCCAAAAGTTATAGACTTGAGTCACATTGGAGTATTGATATCAGCTTAATTTTGATTGGCTGATGAGATTATGGAGAAGAGCAGTTACTCCATGGTTGCATTTACCTCTACTTGATCTTATTATAAAATGTTTGTTGGACATTAAAGGTTTGGATATTAGTTACTCATAATTTAAACCAAAACTACTACTGGGTTTAATCTAATTTAACTTTTTTTCAACTTTTTCGAGGTTTTTTAAATTTATTGTTTTCTTATTCAATAAAATTTTACTTTATTAATTTTGAAAATCTCAAGAATTTAGAAATTTTTTAAATCATATTTTGTGAGTCATAATTTTATAGAGCCAAAATTCAAAATGACAAATTTTGAAACTTTTTTATATATTCTTATTTACTATTATAAAGTAATAATTTTGTTTTATTTTATAGGTCCGATTTTTTGTCTTGGATGAAGCTGTAAGTTTTTTTTTTTAAGTTAAATATATGAATTGCATATTAATTTTTATTGCTATACAGTAGAGCGTCGTTTATCCAAAAGCTGATCAATGGAAAGCGTTCCAGTCAGATTGTGTTGTGCTGAATCAAACGTTTTTGAGACTAGATTAACTTCCAAAATATAATTTTTTTTGTTTTTCTATTTTTCAATACATTTATTTTGTTGTACAAAATAAAGAAATAATTTTTAACAATATAATAGCCACAATTATTATTTTTTAAGATTTACGTTAGGCTTAACATTGACGAAAATTCAACACAAAGTGACATGCAACAGAGAAAAATTTCAACGTGGGATAGGTTAGTACATTTTTTCATACATAATCGGTTATCCGAAAAATAAGTTATTCGAACAACCCCAGTTCCCAATTGATTCAGATAAACAACGCTCTACTGTATATATTGGTGTAATATACTGACATAGTTGCCCTTAGCATGATGATGATTGCCTTGCTCTTATCCGATTTGACCATTGTGATGATGTTAGATTGGAGCCACTTCTTACTGTGTCTGATGTAATTTCAGAACTTATGTACTTTTGGATCAGGCTTGTAACTTTCAATTACCATCAGTGCCTTCCATCAAAGATAGTCCTTGCATGTCTCTGGATACTCATTATTTCCTCTAGATAGTAATTTCTCCACATTCGGAATGAACGAAAACAGATTTGGTGCAGCTGATTGAGGCACAAACATAAGACCAAATTCGAATGTCTTGTGGAAGTATTCTGGAGGAGAGATGTTGTCCCAACATGTTATAACGTTGTATACATTAATAAAATGTTTTTATTAATGTGGCAACAAAAATATAATACTGGCAATGAAAATCCTAGTCCTGTTATTTTGACATACAGTGTTAAATTGAATCACAAAGCATGCTTCANAAAAAACTAAATGAAAAAATGTATAATAAAGTTGTGATTGTTGCAAGGAAATATTTTACGTAATAATTTTTTAATACTATTAGTTTGTGATACATAATATATTATTTTTTCTGCCATAATAACTAACTTTTTTCTGTACCCCTAAGCAACCTATCGCGTACCCCTAGGGGTACGCGTACCACAGGTTGGGAATCGCTGGGTTAGTACATAATCAGATAGGTCGTACATAATCGGTTATTTGAAAAATAAGTTATCCAAACAATCCCAGTCCCCAATTGATTCAGATAAACAATGCTCTACTGTATTTTATTTTTATTCTAAAATGAAATTATTTTAAAAATAAATATTGTCAAACTGTTAGATATAAGAGATTATGTACATATGAAGGCTATTCCAAAATCAACTTCTGATTGGCTATGAAGAATTTATTATATACAAAATCTAAATACATATCTATGTTACTTTTTCACATAGTTACCACCCAAAATCAGACACTTGTACCATGGGACTGGTTTTTACAATCTCTTGCCAATGAACAATACTGCCAGTTACTGACTCCAATCACGATCACATTTTCAAATTGTTGGATATCCAGCCAGACTTTTATGTTGCTGAAAGAGTGGTAATCTCTTGGTGCCAAGTCCGGACTGTAAGTAGGGTGGTAGAAAATCTCCCAGTTGAACTGCTTGAGTAAAGCTTTTCTGGTATCACAGAAGAAATATCAAGGCTTTGAGTTTTGTGAACATAGTCCATTGTTTTAGTAGCCTCTAGACCTACAACTTGTATTAACTTAATCATTCTGTGACAGTAGGAAACATTAGTCTCCAAAATTTGAGGAAATTTACCAGAAAGTCCTGAAATTCATTGTGTTTATCCAGATCTGTTGGATTATCCCTGAATTTCCTGCACCAAACCTTCACAAACTGTCACTCATAACATTATCAGCATAGACATGACACAAAGATGAATTTCAATGGCTCTGTGTCCTTCTACTTGCAGATAATGTATCATACCATAGATCTCACAGCTGGCAGTAGTAGTAATGATGTGGTCTATGCTTACTAGGTACACAATTAAATAAATAAAAAAAAAAAAGGACAGTGAGTTAGCGTTTAGCAATATAAACCTTCATTAATTCTGTGTGCTATTGCTATGACAACTTATTTATTTTTACCAGTCAGAGGTTGATTTTGGAATAGCCCTCATATTTATGTAATACATTAAACTCAAGTTACAAACTAAATACTGCCGAAATTTTTCCATACTCTTTACGCAAAAGAATTTAATAGAGTTTCACTTAGAAATAGGCAATATATCCTTATATGTATTTTAATTAATTTGTAATTAATAAATAAATAATTTTAATTATTAGAAATAGATGTTGTGGATTTAAATTTCATTCTTGGCCAATCTTTTTCATGGGTATTCTTAAATTATTAATTTTAAAAAAATTATATTTTAGTTTATTTTAATAATAATAATAATAATAATATTTTGCACTTGGAAATGGAAATGTTATTGAATCCATGGAAGAGGGTGAGCTCTACAAGTATTTAGGATTTCAACAGGCCAAACAAACAGAACATACACAAATAAAGCAAAGATTAATTAAAGAATACCAAAGTAGGTTAAANGTCAAAAGTTCTGAAATTCTGATTTAAAAAAATTATGGTGAGTTTTTCTAATGCAAATAAAAAGTTTACATACCATAAAATAAAAGCTTTACATACTTAACAATGTTGGAAATGTTCATGTTCTTTGCAAGCACAAAGACACATGGTGACTCATGTCTGTAGCCATACATCTTAGCATTACTGGAGAAATGCTATTGATAATAGTGGTAGTGTTTTTTCTTTTTTTTTCGAGAACTGCAGATCTGTTGGATTATCCCTTTAGATAACCCCAAAAAAAGAAATCAGATAATGAGAAATCAGGAGGTTTCGGAGGAAATCTCTCTACACATTATGCATGTGATTTGGTTTCTAAGTACTCTTTCAAAAGGTAAACATGCTATACTTGTGGGAGAGACATGCTTATTCATGTGGCTAGGCTGTACTGCTGCATTATGACTTTGGAGAGCCAATAGGAAACTGACATAGGTTTGTGCATCAGCATGTGTGTGCAAGGACAGATGTCTGGCATGATTTAGAATTTGCCCTTTGTGGATCTAATTTAAACACTTAGAGACATTGTACGTATTCTCAAAGATGCAAGGAGAGTGATGATTTTATCAAAAAAAAATATTAAAATAAAAGTTTGGGGACTTTTGATTCACCCTGTGTATATCTTTTAATTATAAATAATTTATTAAAAATATATTGAAGAATAAGAAATAATTGTCTTTGTAACCCATCATTACACAACACCTACGACAAATCAACAAACACAAAATTTGCAGACATTACCTTTTATTTGAACTATGTCTCTCTAAAAAAAAATGCAAATTGGTGTAAAAAAAAGTCTTTTGGTGGTGATACTATAAATTAAAACTATTAGTTTTAATTATTAATTATTTAATTAGTTGTAAACCAATTTACAATTTTTAGAGGTATAGCCTCAAATTAAAGGTCATATCTGCAAGTGAAGATTGTGTTTGTTGGTTTGTTGCTGGTGTTGTGTAACACTGGATTGTGAAGACAGATTTTTTTTGTATTCTTTCATATATTTTTGATGAAAAAACAATTCAATTACATAAATCTAATTTATGCACAATTATTAATAATTCTTATTCTACTGACTTTTTCAGGACGGATTGCTTTCTCAAGGATATGGAGATTTAATTAATCGTATTCATCAACAAATTCCGAAAATTACTTCAGATGGTAAAAGATTACAGGTTTGCATATTAATTTGCATTTTTCCAACACAATTTTGAACACTTAATTGATAAGATATTAGTAATAGGTTTGTTCATATTTTTCAAAAATTTTAAAGTGATAAAATTCATTTCTGTATGGACTTATTTTCAGTATTTTCATGGTCTTTACAAAGCCATTAAAAAGTGTTTAATTTTTTTTTTTTTTTTGTGACATTCAAAAGTACTTATTTTTTTTCAAAAATCAGCAGCATGTCCTTAAAAATGCTTAATTTTCTATTTCTGACTCAAAAAAACAATCATGGAAAAATATTTCTTTATGAAAATCATTTTCTGCCAACCATTCAGAAACAAGATAAGAAAATAGTTTATAGTCATGATTTCAATGGTTTAGAGCTGGGGTGATTTATTAATAAATGTTCATTAACAAGTCATTAATTTGTATCAACAAGTTGTTTGAACAAATCCAAAGAA